TTAAGCCGGTGTCACACTATAGGGCTCGACATGACTTCTAGTTGAAGAGCATGTCAAATTTAACGACTGCAGTTGCTGAATCTCGCTGCCTTTTCTGTAGAGGTGTCAAATTATACGACTAGGAATTGCGGGGGGTGACTAATTACACGATTCCCTCACGACTTTTCATCACGGTTCCAAATCTCTTACTGCGCCGTGAAAGTAGGTCGCCTCATTTTGGCAGCCAATCAAGTGGAATAAGAGGAGGAGCATCGCACGAAAGTAAATAAACAACAAACACGCAACGACAAACACAAAACATCTAACAGAATCTGTGCTGGCTCCAAAGTTTGACGAGCCTCTCCTCCATTTGCACAGTCCAAAACACTCGCTTTCCTTCTTTCCTTGCAGCCACATTGTACTTCCGGTTGAAAGCTCAGACACAGACACAAGAAAAAGCAATATTATGATATGATATTATTTTAGCGAGTCACAGGGGGTCGTAGAGGCTTAAGAGGGTTATAACTGGGGCACTAGGGGATGTCACACTGCACAACTGACAGTAACGGGTGCACACTACGATTTTCTCCAACTTGCTGTGATTTTCTTACGATTATGTTAATGAAGGCTACAACTCTACAACTGAAAATCCTAGGAAAAGTCATGTAGTGTGATGCCGGCTTTAGCTGCAGACCAAGCCAAATTATTTTTTCTCTTGGATGAGCTAATACTCTAAGAATTGTTACTGTTATCTGTTAACTGAGGATCAATGCAAAAAAGTTCTTGACAAGAAACAGATTACATTAGTGTCTTTGAAATTCAATGTGCTTTTTGAGGCAGTGTGACTATATGCGCAACATAAATTTATAAAATAAAACAAGGGTTTCCAATGGAAAAGCAGAAACAAAAAAGATACTTTTCAACAAGAAACATGAAACAAAGTATTAACAATATTCTTTAAAACTGCAATAAATGGATGGATAAGTTAAAAAACAACATACATTCTGTTCATTCTGTTCATTTCTTCACTCTCGTCTGAAGAAAATATGAAGATAATACCTGTGGGGTGCCTGTATGAAACGCAGAGCAGTTCATACCTACCTATCCCAGGCACATTTCCCTACACTAGCCCAAAATACAACGAAACATTTAAACAAACTATTCGAAAACTGAATTTCTTCCTACTGTACCAAACTAGGACTGAGACTGTAAACACTCTACAGCTGTCTGGAAAATAAATGTCTGGTATTTTAGATGACAACAGTTCAACAGCAGATATCTGCACACTAATCACAATAAGAAAAAGTCATTATTACTTTATTGAATGCTGCCAAGCCTGCTGCTCCCTTTGGCAGACTTGGAATGTTTCCTTATTTCCTATTCTCTATTTCAACAGAGAAGTTCAGACCAGGGAAGGTGGAGGCAGGCTTGCAGGGTTATGGGATGAGGTCCATTTGCCCTATTTCTATAATGAGATTAGAGAGGACACACCCCTTAGACATAGGGAAGCTTCCTATAATAACAGTCAATGTGTCTTCAAGTATTAGTGT